AACAGAAATGTTCGCGAGCGCTCGCTCTGTTGAACAGGCCTCCGGTCTGCCTGATGTACTCTGGTGAAGTTCGATTTATGTAATGGAAGGAATTGTTTATTGCTAATTTATTACTGTAAGCAATTATTACTGTAAAGTAATAAAGTACTGTTGTATCCTCTGAATATAGCGAGACTATATATGTTAAAAAGAAACAATTTGAAAGATAAAAATCTCTTTGAGAATATAGATTAAGATGGTTTGTAGTATTAAATAAGATTAGATAATATAATGAGAATCACCACATTTTTATTTCATGATTTTTATTTACTTTTTTACAGTTGGAAGAATCACTCCAAATATAACCCCTGTATCATATACGGAAGTAGCTAATAAATTTCTTTGGCTGAGCAATGGAGGCCACTACAAGCCAAATTGTACTCTTTTGGAAAATCTGGCCATAATTATTCCATTTCGAAAAAGGGAGACTCAACTAGCTATTTTAATGAACAATCTTCATCCTGTATTATACCGTCAGCAAATTGAGTACTCCTTTTACGTAATAGAACAGGTGAGTGTTCAATGCAGACGTGTATTATTACTTCATTAGTCTAGATACATACGACCTTGTTTACCTTGCACCAATTATTATCTTTTGAGGGAAATGCAAAGTTGGTCTTTTAATCTTTTAAGTAATTTATGACATAAGGTATCATTTTTAGCATCTATTGGGATAAAGGTAAGGGTTGGTCACGTGATCAAATTCCATAAAACCCGAATTTAAGGTTAATTTGATCACGTATCAACTGTATTTATATCCCGATAGATGTTTAAAAATGATACCTTATTATATTTACTTTTGTGAGTTCTTCATACTATATATTTGCCTAAGGATAATCTTTAACGCATGAAATGTTTTCTTTTTCAAAACTCAACGGCACAAGGTTTATTCATTGAATGCACGTCAACCATTTATGACGTCACTGGGAATTTACGTCGAACATTTATGAGTGAGAAACCTGTATTTTACATTGCTTAAATAATGTTATATAAAACATAACATTTGCATATATATATATATATATATATATATATATATATATATATATATATATATATATATATATATATATATATATAGATAGATAGATAGATAGATAGATAGATAGATAGATATATAAAATGATTAAAATGACCAACGACACGAACAATAAAAATTGTCAAATTTTCGGGACGACCTGTCCCTTCCTCAGGGCAAAGAAAAAAGTTAAGAAGTCATAAAAACAAAGGAAACAGAGAAACAAAAACAATTAGCACTACTACTACTAAACTACCAAACACTAAATATTTACAGTGTTTCATTTTTAATTTGAAGTTTATAAACAGTTGTGAAGAAAGAAATCCGGAGCGCTATGAATTGCGTCCAGTCTATCAGATGTACTCTGGTGAAGTGCGATTTGCATAGTTGAACGAATTAATTATCGCTAATTAATTATGACCAAGTAGTAAATCGTACACTGTGTAATCCTCTCAATATAGCGTAACTAATATATATATATATATATATATATATATATATATATATATATATATATATATATATATATATATATATATATATATATATATATATATATATATATATGAGGGTTGTCCAAAAAATCGTAGATTATAGTTATAACTGATATAGTCATAAATGTTAAAACTGTTAATGCTGTCTTTTATAAAAATGCCCCTTAAAATTCTGGTTTCTGAAATAAGTATCTTTCATAGTGAAAACATTATGACGATTTATCAGAAGGCCGATTTGGTCTGTCGGCATCCGAACAAAATCCGGGATAATTTACGCATGTCTCTATTACAAATGAATTTGCTTCTCTAAATTTTTGTAAAACATCAAATTCAAATTTATATCAGCTGAATTATGAAAAGCATCTGTATATGTCGACATTCCAAGTAAATGGTTTTAGGGGCAAAAGTATGTTGACGTAATTTTAAAGCGTACAACCGCAAATGATGTTTTCAAATGCGTTCTATGGGCAAAGGGATATTATTACATATTTTGTTTTGTTCTGAATAGGATTTGAATCCCTCAGAAACGAAAAAGTTATTAAAGTGACAAGACCCTAGAATGTTAGCAGAGAAATTGCTTCAAATAGCATAAGAGATTCAATGATAGTTTCACCTCAATGTGGAAAGTAGGAAGGCCTTAATTGTAGAATGATGATTGTTCAATTCAGTCGTTGAGAAATGGTTTTGGTCACGATCGACCATAAACATTTTGAAATTTCTGGGGTTTTTTACAATGCAAAGGGATATTGCAAGGGTTGAATTTAAATTTGATCAAGAACTGAAAAAACTGATGAATTTTAATGCGTCCCTGAGTCAAGATTGTTTCACCTGTCGGGCAGTGTATTTGAAAAATCAAGATGCCACAAGAGGCGTGTTGCACACAAGGCGCACAGTATTTTCAACAAGGTAATTCAGAGAATTCGTGTCCCCCGCTTAAGGAAAAAAGAAGAGAATGCGCGGATCTAGAAGGGGGGAGGGGTCAGACCCCCTCCTTAGAATTGCAGATTTATTAATAGTGGAGTGACAAGACCATCAAAATTTTGAAATTAGTGCACCGCCCTACCCTACGGCTAATTTGTACTTTTTGGGGCAGGTATATTATTAAGGAATTATTTTCGTCTGGTCGTAGAAAATCCTATGGTCAAAATTAAAAATAACAGGAGGTTAAAGATCAATGATTGAAATCTAACCATAAAAATGAACATATAAAAAAAGCTTAAGAAATTCATAAATCTTCTCTGATTTTGCAATCAATTTGTATGGTAATTTGATTTCTACATTGAATATCGATTTCATAGAAAAAAAAAAGGACAATCTAAACTACAGTGACCGTCTGCCTGTCCGTAAAGTTAATTGTCTTGGAGTAGCTTAAACTCAGCGCTGATGTACAGGTTTTTTGTTCATAAAGTACACTTAGACAATATCAAGACAGGTACATGTACAGGTATAAACAGTATTTAGGAAATCAAAAAAGGATAATAAAATGACTAAATTTTGAGTTTTATTGCTTTGAAGTAATATTTTTATTTAAACATTAAACTTCAATAATTTTGAATATATTGAACTCTAAAAACACATTTTCTGTACCTGAAACATATTAATCACGTTAAAGCATAATAATTAACATTTTTGTTTTGTTTGTAATTATAGATTTGTTAAACAACTTTATGAATTTGAAAGCATTTTTATCAATGGTTCTTATATTTTGTGAATGTTTTTGCGTTATCAAATGAATGCCAATGATAAAAAATTTTCGTTCAAGCATTAAAAGATTCGTTTTACGTCGACAATGCTTTTTTACATTAAACTAAATAATTTACCGTGGATCTACAAGTCATAGCACTGTTGCCGTACACAGAATGATTTCAAAGGAGGATTCAATGATGCGTCGTTCCTTACACAACACTTTACAACTTTCAGTCAAAAGTTTGTATCAAAATAAATCTCCCAACGGATTGTCACATTTATTTTAAAAGACGCAGCAAATATCATTCCGGGATTTCATATTTTCTATTTACAGATAACTTTCTTTCGGCATGTCATGATCAATGTCAACCTTGCTACGTCATCAATTAACGCGTCATCGATTGGGGAAGAAATCAATCAACATAGTTTCACAGGGGTTATTTCAATTTTTTTGTTCAGAACGAAAATCGTATGCGATAAATAGAACATCTATAATTGTGTGATTTGATGTTTGGTTATCCAACTCTTTGAAAAGGTGTATATTCGCTCGACAAGCCTCGCGAATATACACCATTTCAACTCGTTGGATAAACCAAATAACAAATCACACAATATAGTTATCCTCTCTCTCTCTCTCTCTCTCTCTCTCTCTCTCTCTCTATATATATATATATATATATACACTAGACAAAATTGCTAACGCACCACTTGTTATTCTTATTTGTGAATTGAACATTTGCCCGATCGGTAATAGTATATATAATATGCCATCTTTTCCAATACAGTGGGATTGACAAATGTCTTGGTATCATGACAGGACCCTTAAATGACCCTTTTGCCCGAAAACCAATTTCCCGACGTGCACTGCGCACCGTTTTTGCCCAGGTATGAAGTTGGTGATCACCAAGGGTGGTCCGTGCGGTTGCCACAGAAGCAGTCAAATAACATACAGCTATTTACTGACATATCACCTAGTAGTCATCCAGTGCCTTGGTGTCCATACCAAATCCACCCAACTTCCGGTTGACCCAATTTTGGGGTACAGTTTTCAAATTATCGTGTGCTGCTTACTTAATGCCGTGGCTATCTATTGTAAACATTTTCATGTTTGTTAATCTATTTGCAATAATTTCTCATTAGAGGAATTCATAATCTTTTAATTGTTTTCATTTTTTACAAATTTCTCCAAAGGAACCCCCTGCAGCCACCATACTGTCTGCATTAGCACTCTCTTCTAGGGTCAAACGCAGCATTCGGTGTAACTTTTTTCTGAGCTTTTAATTAGTACAAATATAAAGACACAAACACAAAGGCAATATAGAAATTTATTCTTTCAAAAAAGTATGGACACGATTTTAGTTTTTTCTATGAAATGGTTACGCTTCAGTAAACATTATAGTTATCTATCTCTAAAAACATTTAAATGTCTCATTTTTTATTAAAGTAACATAATTATATATCAAATACATCATAAACAAGTTTTGAAAAGTAAAATATTAATTTTCTTTGGTGGTGCGTTAGCAATTTTGTCTAGTGTATATATAACAACGCATATCGTCTTATCTCTATTTGAAATTAGATATATGGAAGAACTTTGATTAAATGATATTTAAAATTGACGTTTATACATAAAGTGGTCAAAGCTCTGAGTAACCTCGTTTGACGAATTGCAATACTTTTATAATTTACGTGTTTATAATTATCTGCAAAAATGTGTCATTTTGATACTCTTTCCTTTTTCTGTCTTAAAAGGATAGTAACGGAGGGTTTAACAAGGGGAAGCTATACAATATTGGATATACTGAGGCAGCAAAACGAGACCATACATGTTTTGTTTTTCATGACGTCGATCTTATTCCAGAAAATGATAACATTTTATATGGATGCGTCAGAAGTCAAATGCACCTTTCTAGAGCAATAGATAAATTTAACTATAGGTGAGTAATTTAAACAGAATTTTTAAAAATACAATGCTTAGGAAATAATGAAAAATCCTTCCATTCTTCAGTTGATTTCATTGTAAAGGAGACTCCCTGAGTTTTCAAAACTTTTGAGATTCAAAGTTGTTAAGCTACATTGTAATTCGAATCATTTTTAATTCAGGCCATTCCCTTGAACCTTTTTTTTATCAATTTTCTTTTTAGAAAGATTTTAATGATATCAAATCCTGACGGTTGAACATTTCAATTTAGAAGCGCAGCTATTTTAGGGTTTCCAAATTCATTCCAAAGGAAATCTAAGCATACACATTTTTGACTTAAAAATAGTAAAATCTCTCTCTCTCTCTCTCTCTCTCTCTCTCTCTCTCTCTCTCTCTAACATTGGTAAAAATGTAATTGAAACAAATTAAAATGAATAAATTAAATAGTTTAGCTCTAATTTATATTTATTCTGATCAAATCATATTTCTTTACATTTTAGAGAGTTAGAGTAAAATACTATACACTGTATCATCCTTTTAAAAAGTTATCAGTTGTAGTCGATCATTTACCATCATTTATATTTATGATTGTCTATAAATTTTATTATTCAATATCGATATATTATTGAGAATTATAGAATCTAAAGAATTGGAAAACTAAAACAAACCGAAAGAAAGACATGTTTATATTTAGCAAATTTCTTGAAATTTTCCGATTGAGATGAAACCCTTTTAAAGTTAATAGGCATGTTGTGCAAATGTGCGTAACGAAGGTCATTTTGCTTGCACATGAATGCACGTACGTGCGCTTGCGATAAGTAGAATAATAATGATTAAAATACTGTAAATTTTCCATTTCTCTATGAAATGCTTTGAAGGGTTGATGAGATGATTGAATTAACATGAAAATATGCACAAGCATGTGTCCTTTACTCTGATTGACTGACACAAAGTCCACAATAACATCCTTATTCTTTGACAAAATACGAAATTTGATAAAGGTGCATGTGCTCATTACAACATTCTACAATATTAAAACTGCATGAACGCAAGCACGTGCGCTACAATTTTATTTGCTGAAACTTTAATAGCTAAATCTTCCTCAAACAGTTCGTAATTTAAAATTCAGATGAGGATAATGGGTTCTTAAATTATACCTCTTTCGAAATTTAAAGCAAGGGCAAGCATGTAGTTGTGCTAATTTCTGATCGGCTTATATTTTATAGACTTTAACTCTATTACATGGCAATCAAATACAAAATAGCTAATCGGTCAATCCCAAGACGTTCCGACCGATTAGTCGGATAATCGTATCAAAATACACATTTTTGGACATATTTTTGAAGTAGCTCTATTCATATGCCTAAGTTGTAGCAGATCTCTAGTTCGCTGTTCTAAAAAATGGATGGATAACCAGAGAGCTACATTGCCACCCATAGAAAAAAAACTGTACACTTATTGCGCACAAAATGTTGCGCTCGATTTTAGTTTTAATTCTCCATATTCTTACAAGTCGCCCGCGTGGTGCATTGGTTAGAGCGTCTTCTCTACGTGGCGGGTTCGAATCCCACTGTGGGACGAGGAGACCGGTCCTTCAGATGAGACCGTATTAACCGAGGTCCCGTGTCGCAGTGGGTGCTGGCACGAAAAAAAAAACCGTCAATGCTCAATGGCCGTAAGTGCCGAGTATAGGGCAAAATTTGCAGCTTTCCACCGGCAAGTGGTGGCGTCTCCATATGAGTGAAATATTCTCGAGAGAGACGTTAAACAAAATACAATCAATCAATCCAAATTCTTACCTCAACTGTACGAAAGATCAATTACAAAATATTCCTTTGACCTCTGTCAACTACTCTTATATTTGACATTTGCACGAAGCGCGTTCGAGCAAATTATTTTGCCGCCCAAGATGGCAGTGTAAATAAGCAAACTTTTCTATGGTCTCTATTTCAGGCCCAGGAGGGCCACTAACAACGGTTACAAGGAATGTTTTGTTTTGAAAATAGTAAAAGAATATAGTTAGAACACACTGTTAGTAATATTTTGAGATGGTAATTTGAAAAAACACGGCGAAATTAATCGAGAAGCAGCGCACTTTCTTGTGCGCAATAAATATACACTTTTTTCAATGGGTGGCACTGTAGCTCTCCGGTCTGTCAATATATACATTTTTCGGAAGCTACAGTACTGCAGCTAATACACAAGAAGACTAAAAACGTTAGAAGTTAGGTAAGAAATAGATAGCAACTGTGTTCCTTCGCCAAACCCTCGGCACTTTGAAGTGAAAGCTGCAGGTCCTTCGGATGGGACGTTAAAAATTGAGGTCCCGTGTCACTGTAGGCGTTTGCACGATAAAGAACCAAAGAACCCTCACTGCTCAATGGCCCTGAGTGCCGAATAAAGGTCTAAATTTAAGCCCTTCACCGACATAAGTTGACGACTCATTAGTAACAATTTATCGAACGGGACGTAAAACAAAACACAATCAATCTCTGTCCCTGTATATAAAGAAGATAAACTAGGTTCATTTTTATCATAATCAAGTTTGCTTTTTTCAAAATTACGAAATCTTTGGCCCATGGGTGAGGAGTTTTGCGGGAGGCAGGGGGGTCTATTGATTATATAGCGAAATTGCAAAATTTTCTCCTCTAATCCTAGGTATACAGCAGATAAACCAAGTATAAAATTATGATGAGCGAGGGCGCCTCTTCCAAAATTGGGAATATCTTAGCCCCTGGGTCAAGGATTCTGGTGTAAGGGCTGGGCTCTTTTGATCATAGAGTGAAAATACAAATTCTTTAAAAAATCTTCTCTCCCCCTGTAAATAAAGCAGATAAACAGAGTACATAGTTATGACAATCAAGAGTGCCTCTTCCAAAATTATGAAATTTGTGGCCCCAGGATGAGGGGTTCGGGGTTGGGGTGCTCTATTGATTATATTGTATATGGTGAAAGTGCAAAATCTTCTTCTCTAATCCTAGGTATTAAGTGGATAAACCAAGTATAGGTTTAATTAGCCAGGGCATTTCTTCCAAAATTGGGAATACCTGTGTCAGGTGTTCTGGTGTTAGGGTGTTGCTCTATTGATCATAAAGTGAAAATGCATAAATTCTTTAAAAATCCTCTTATCTCCCCCTGTATATAAAACAAATAAACTTGGTGCATGGTTAACATGATATAGAATGTCTGTTTTAAAATCGTAAAATTTGTAGTCCAAGGGAGAGGGGTTCTGAAGGAAGGTGAAAGCTCTGTTGATTATATGGTGAAAGTGCATTATTTCTTTTAAGATCTTCTTCTCTGTTCCTGGTTATTAAGCAGAAAAACCAAATATATAGCTATGATAAGCAATGGCTTGTCTTCCAAATTTGTGAATATCTTACCTCTGGGTCAAGGGTTCTGGTGTTAGGACGGGCCTTTATTGATCATACAGTGAAAATGCATTAATTCTTTTAAAAATTGCCTCCTCTCCCCTGTATATAAAGCAATTAAACTAGGTGCAAGGTTATGATGATCAAAGGTATCTCTTCCAAAATTGTGAAATTTGTTACCCCAGGGTGAGGGATTCTGTGGGGGGGGGGGGGGCTCTATTGATTATATTGTTAAAGTGCATTATTTCTTTGAAAATCTCCTTCTCTGTCTCTGGGTATTTAGCAGATAAATCAATTATATAGTTATGATAAGCAAGGGCAACCCAAAATTGTGAATATCTTGGCCTCTGATCCTATGTATTAAGCATATAAACCAAATTCCTAGTTATGATGAGCAAGGGCAACTCTTCCAAAATTGCGAGTATCTTGGCCCCTGGGTTAGGGGTTCTGGTGTTAGGGCTAGGCTCTATTGATTATATAGTGATATTGCAAAAATTCTTTGAAAATTTTCTCTGTTCCTGGGCATTTAGCAGATGAACTAAGAACATGGTTATGATTATCAAGGATGCCCTTTCTTAAATTGTGAAATTTGTGGCCCCGTCAGGGTTTATGTTACCGGAGGGGGGGGGGGGTTAATTCAATATTTAGTAGAGATTCATTTTTTTTTAATATCTTCTCTACCTTGGGGTATCTAACAGGAAAACTAATTGCATGGTTATGACGAGTAAAGAAATCTTCTCAAAAAAGTTGAAATTTATAACCCCGAGGTCAGGGATTTTGGTGTGAGGGTAAGTCTCTTTTGAATATATAGTAGAAAATGCGGGGTTTTTTTTTGTTTTTTTTTTTTTTTTGAAAATCTTCTACTCTGCCAATTTTTATTAAGGAAACATACTAAGTATATGGTTATAATGAGCAAGATTGCCTCTTTTAAATTTTTGAATATTTTGGCCCCTGGGTTAGGGACTTCGGTATTAGGGTACGGCTTTATTGAGTCTATGGTGAAAGTGGATTATTTACTTGAAAATCTTCTCTGCTCCTGGGCATCTAGGAGGAAATGGAGTATATTAAGTTGAAATAAGCAGGGGTGTTTTACCAGATTATGAAATTCTGTACCCTTTGGTCAGTTTATTAATTTCTGTTAATATAAGTTATTCCTCTTTGCTATTCACCGATAATAGTTAATCACTGTAAATATTGTAACCTAAAAGATCAATTGAATAACAGAATTATACAAGAAAATTTATAGTATTTAATACAAAAGTACTTTCATAGTTTTTAATGGTCAGGTAAACTTTTAAATAATAAATAAATAAAAATGGGGGGAAATACCATTTCTTCGTACAAAAATAATCTTTAAAAACCAAGAGAGGTCAAAGTAGATTGGAGGATGAAATGTGTTAACTAATAGGGCTATAGATCTGTTGTTTTGTATAGTCAGTATGATGATAGTGACATGTGGGGGAAAGTACTGGCAAATAAATAGATCAACTTTAAAATTTGTTAGTAAGTACTTAATTGATAAATTGCTGATCCCAGACTATCCCATTTCTCTTGCTTTTGGGCAACATAGCTTTAATTATCAGCTTATTTTGTTTTAATGTATGGATCGTTACATTATACTCAGGAGATTGTTAAGGCTGTTGGGCCTCTTGTTCTCAATAGGAAAGCTTCGATAAAGATATACCTACCTCTTTATAATTGTTTGTTTGATATTCTAATAGTTCTATAATATTTAAATTTAAAGTGTTGTTGTTTCTACACCAAGCATTTTTTGTCTGTCGTTTGTTGTTTTTTTATCAAGCTACATTGTACGAAAGCTTTGAATGACGTCAAGTTTATTTGGCTTCTTTCAAGCGCACAACTGACGTTTTGAGAATTCTACGACAAACCGTGCGCGCATAGTTTACACACAGTATCGTTGTTAGGGATGTGCGATTTTATCTGTATACAGTATATCGAAATTTTTTATTGAGTGATACGTATCGTGATACGGAGACTAAATACCGATATTTGATACATTACTAAAAATTCCGGAAATAACTCATTTATTTGTTCAAACTATTGAATGACAATTACAGGAAGTGTAAAAAATGTTGAAATCAATTAAACAACGACATCCAAACATGCTTTTTATAAATAAACATTTAAAAGTAAAGTTTTTATATCATATTTTTAAGAAATATTATAGAAATTCATTTGAAATTGTAGTACAAATTGTGTGTAAAAATATCACGATCTATCGTGATATTTTTGGGAAAAATCTTGATATATCACGAAACGAAATTTTCGCCGATACCCATCCCTAATGTTACCTGTTGTCAAGTGTGTTGCTAATGTGGAGAGTACCATTACAAATTGTTGAATGCGTCTAAACCAATAAGATTTTTGTATTTAACATGGAAGTGTAATAATCATTTTTATTATCTGAAATCCTAGATTGACCAAAGGTAACCTTTTTCTTAGCATTATATTATGTAAGTAGGGTATTCAGAATTAACATGCATTTGTGTTATGGTATCCGAGGGTGACGAGAAGTTATCTTTAGATATACAGTGGTATATCATCCTATAGTAGTTATCTTTAGATATACAGTGATATATCATGCTATAGTAATCAGAGATATTCCTTGTCTTAGCATAACGGTGTCAAGATTCATCGACATTTGTGTAATGATATCAGAATGTGACCAAAAGTAATCCTTATATAATCAATATATCAAATCTTACAGTTAACAGCGTTTACCCTCGTCTTGGCGACACATTATCTAAGTAAGGCGTCTAGTTGTCTAATATCAGAGGGTTATTGTAAATGAACAAGAAAGTATATGTAATATGTTTTATTACAGGACAGGTTGACCAAAGGTAACCATTTTTTAGTGTTACAAAAATTAAAGAAAGTATAAAGACTTTATCTATATTGCTATGTGACATCAAAGGTTGACCAAGCATAACTTTTGTTTAAACATAACAATATGTAATTCTTGATTGACCATAGCTTGTCTGAACAATTATTATATTAAAGGGCAACAAGTGGCACTATTTGCAAGCATTGATATATTATATCGTTTATTAAACAGAGGTAAGCCTTGCATTGGTATAACATTATCACGGGAAGGGGGCCAGAGGTAACCTTCATTTGTGTTATGATATAAAATAATTAACCAGTTGTAATCTTTATTTATGAATGATAAAAAGAAATTATAAAGTGACATAAATGATTCTTTTGCTTCATATGATGACGTATTCAGATGCTTATTAGCCCCTTTTACTTGTTACCTTTACTTTGTTTTTGGAATATCTTTTGGTACAACAAGCTGTAGTTTCATTGATGACCGATGATACTGGATCGTCATTAAATATCAAAAACAATTTTTAATAAAATCATAAAAAACCAAATATGGAACTTTGTTTTTTGGAATATCTTTTGGTACAACAAGCTTTAGTTTCGTTGATGACCGATAATACTGGATAGTCATTAAATGTCAAAAAAAAATTAATAAAATCATAAAAAACCAAATAGGGAAAAAGGAAAGAGATTGTACTTAAACTTACAATTCTAAAAAATATTGAAAAGGTAAAATATGATTTGATGTTTATTACAAATCTAAAGATCAACATGTCAGGTACACGGAACATTCCGTTGTCTAATTTAGTAAAAACAAGAAAGACATATCAACTGATATAAAACAAGTCAGTCAAAATACGACCAAATGATAGGTTATATTTGTTAACAATGTTTTTATAAGGACCATGTAATTTATGAAAATGCTGACTTTAAACAAGCTTTATGAAATCGATGTAGCATCAACTTATTTTTCAGTAGCCTGCTAAGGTTAAAAAATTGATCGTACTCAGAGCATGTTTTTGGGTATCGGATAAGCTTGGGGTTCTAAACACCAAATGCAGGTGATAGTGGAATATTACTACATAAATAAGGAAAATTGACAATGAAAAATCTGGTCATTTCGTTTGTCATACAATCTAGTTGTTAGTTGGCCTTTATAGTCAGTTAAATATCCAAATATGAAACAGATGTGGCAGACTCTTTGGTTTCTTTTATTCAGGTTCAGTGTCTCTCAGGTTTCTCCTTTACAGCAGTTAATATTTTTGTAAGGAGTATAGATAAGGGCTAGGTAGAGCATTTGATGAATCCGGCAATGTATCTTTGTAGGATTTTTATAAAATTTTGGTATCCAATATAAGTAGGATAGATTGAACTCATATTATTGAAATCATATTTTGTAAGCTATTGTTACAACACCACGAGTATCGGCACTCATTTTAATAATAAATAGGACATATCTGTAGTTTAAATCATGAAATATATAGAAAACTTGTTATTATATTAATTTTTGTTAAATGGCATGAGGAAGTCTCTTGCTTTTTTCTGAATAAAATAAAATAAAGAATCTGATAGCAAACTTCATGATAAACGTGATGATTATTCTATAGTCAACTTCACTATTTATATCATATAGCAATAGACCAATACCAAATGCATATTGGGTTTTTGTCTCCCAGTTGATTGGATACACAAGAGCATATTCTACGTACGATCAATTTCTTTAACAAAACAGGCTAGTGAGAAATTAGCTGATGATACAAGTGTATTTAGAACCTCTTTTGATGTCAACATTTCGAAAATTTAATGAACTTGTTTGCTAATACAATTTATCGTTAGATGGAATTTTGAATTGTTACACCATTTTTCACACTGTATTGACTACGGCATTTTCCACTTGATCATGACAAGGAGCACATGGCGGATGTGACAAGTCCACAAGCTATGATCACTCCTCCTTGGCACCTTATAACACTTGTGTTTCAGAGGTCCGTATTTGATTTGCTTTCAATTTGTATTTCTTCATTAGGACTTTTAAGCAAGATACTAGTAATTTTTTTTCGCATTTCATTCAGATAGAATAGAAAATCTAAAAATCAAGGATCATAGTATTTTTATTATTTATAGACTTACAGATAAAAACTAATAGGAGGTGTTTCTGCTTGGAGAAGAAGGGAATTCGAAATGGTGAATGGCTGGTCAAATACGTTTCTGAATTGGGGTGGAGAAGATGACGATATGAGCTACAGGTTTGAGTGTTTCAGGAAAGAATAAGAAATTTATGACGATTCCTGCAAATTTGGCATTGTCTTCTTATTTTAAAAGAAGCAGTATTCACATATTTACAACTACTTCTGTTTTTTAACTAATTTCTTTTTCTTTATGAAATTGTTTGGATAAAGTTCTCAGATTAAAGGTGCATTCATTACCTAGTACCTTTTATAAAAAGTTTATTTATAATGTAGAGTACATGTATAATGCGCTTTCTGAGTTCTACGTAATTACGTATTTTTCAATCAGAGCTTATGCCAAGCGCTATCAAAAGTTCATCTACCTCTATAAAATGCGCAATAGTATAAACTGAATATACATCCTTAATGGTTTTTAAGCATTAATTTTTTCCGGAAATTTTTTATTTTTCGTCCTATTTGGGACTGTTAAACATTGAATTACAATGTATTTATTTATTTATTTATTTCATCAACGTTTTCCTCAAACTTAAAATTGATATTTTTCAGGTTTATTGCAAACGGACTGAATATCTATCGTTTTCGAAATTCCATTGCTAGATACAAAATGCTTAAACACCCTCAATCTGTGATAAACACTGCTAGGTAAAGAAACTAGACATTACGTGTATGTTTTGTGTACTACTGATTAAAAGTGATATTTTCATGAAATACTTTTAAATGACCATAAAGTCCTTTGATTGATTTTTATAGATTTACCCTACTTGAGAACAGTTTTGTCCGCCATAAAATAGATGGGTTGTCCTCCCTGAGCTATGCTGGTGTAAACGTAACAGAATTTAAACTATTTACCAAGATTATTGTTATTCTGTGAATGAAAGGTTGATATGTATAATTACAAAAAAATAAATAAATAAATAATTTTTTAAATAAATCTTAAAATGCCTATATCATAGTTCAAGTTTATTCCTCCTATTATTATTATTATGTAAAAAATAAAAATAAAGTGATAAATCACTGCATGAATTCAGTAAAAAGGGTACTGGATTCCAAAAATTCCATAAAATCCTTATAAACAAAGAAACATAGCGGGTTCCAGTAAATGTTCTACCAAGCCTCCCTCTTTACTCCTCACTAAAATATTTACAGCGGTAAAGGAGAAACATCAGGAGTACTGTAAAACATATTTCAAAAATGGTATTAATCAGATTGGATACTTAAAAACTCAAAAAGAATATTTAGAAATTTGAAATCACACAATTTTACCAAAGTCAATAACATCAAAACGTACGACTTTTCAACACTTTATACAACCTCTCCCCACGAAAAAATAATGTCCAGGGGTTTTTTTGACATCGTAGCCACCTACTTATTCAATGATATGGAACTCGTGAATATACGAGCCTTCAACTCGCAATTTAGATATATCGACGACGTATTATCAAGGAACAATAGTTTCTGCCATTCATATGTCGATTCGATATATCCCGATGAACTTCAAGTAAAGGACACCACAGAGTCTGACACATCCAATACATGTTTTGATACTTTACTAGAAGAAGACGTTAATGGTCACCACACAACAAAACTTTATGATAAACTAGATAACTTCAACTTTTCTATCGTCAACTTCCCTTATTTATGCTGCAATATACCCTCATGACCTGCATATGGGGTTTATGACTCTCTGCTTACGGATAATTTCTAAACTGAGGCATACTATTGACAAATTATTTGGTCGATAAAAGGACTTTGTTTTCAAGTTCTATCTATCGTTAGGTCAAAGATTTGCTTACGTCTTTCATACAAATTGTTAAGCCATTATTTCCATACTGAATTGAATACGGATTTCTTGAGCAGAACAAAGGGCGGATGTGACCGTACGACAGGGGATCGTTACTCCTCCATGGCACCTGATCCCACTTTGATGTTTACATACCTCTGTGGAATTACCAAGATGATCATGCTTCATTATCTTCACATTTTATGGAAAAGTTGAGGTCATTTCGTTTTTGATATTTATTTATAAGTTGGCCATTATCGTCTATAGTCAATATTACACAACAGAATGAATCAGACGTTGCAAACTCTGTGCTGTCTTTTATTTCAAGTTCACTAAGATACATCGAGTTGACATATGAATGAAAGTAACAATTGATTATTGTTAAAACGTCGTCTGAATGTAGCATTGAAAACAACATCCAAAGCTTTTTTTGTTCTTGTCCAAAATTTTTTTAATAAAGTCTGCTTTATAGGAATATAAAAACATGTCTGCTAAGAAAGAAGCATCGTTTACTCACATCAAAATTCCAACAGAATTCTTGAAGACACGGTCTCCAAAGACTATATAGATATTTTGAGAGAGGAGCCCCAGCATATTTTTAAAATATCCGGTATTGGTAGGGTTAATGGAATGTATTTCCGTTGACTGGAATGTTAAGCACATAGGAAGACTGAAAAGTGATTTTATATATATATATATATATATATATATATATATATATATATATATATATATATATATATATATATATATATATATATATATATATATTTATCTCCAAATTTGAAACATTCACAGTGTCCGGTTTTTATAAAGATAAAATTAAAAAAAAGAAAGGCAACACAGGTTAAAACGTTAGCGCTTTCATTATCATCTTCAGACGTTTTACAAATTCATAGTAAAGTTTTCTTGACTGTAATGTCTAACAAAACTATTAATACTTTAAAAATCATTATCTATAATTGAATTTGACAGCTAGCTATAAAATGCTTGCAGTATGTTCACACCTCTGAAACCAAATCCAAAAAACATGTGTTTATATTACTAATTGGAGAATATTGGAAGGTTATATCTGTGTGAAAGTTTTGTCAGAAATCAAATTAAATCAAACTGCTAAGACTGGGTTTAAATTTTTGAATGAAATGTTTTTTTTTTCTCTTCCTTCAATTATATTGTCTATATTGTCTCTAAAAAGTTTATAAAAAGGAAATACTTTAAATTGTCCTTGTCCGCATATATCTATATGTTCGCTGAGTTTCATCTTGCGGTACTCGGGGACTTGAATGTGTTGTTTATGCACCCGGATTCTGGCTCTCAATGTGGTCCCCGTTTCACCGATGTAGAATTGGTTACATCCTCCGCAAGTAATAACGTATATTAAATTTTTGGACTCACATGTCATGTCCGAATTAATAAAAAAAAAATTTCCTCTGAAATTAAATGACGTCCTTGTCATAAATAAAAAGGACATGTGCCACATCGCGAGTTTTTACACTTCGTCACGGATTTTGTAGATTTCCTTATTTTGGAAGGACAGAGCATTCTTCTGAGGTTTTTTGGTTGCCTTTTGCTGTTTATGAATTTAATTTTTGATAAAACTCTTGACATTTCTTCATCTGTTTTGAGGATATCATTGAAATTTTGAACGATAGGAGTAGTATTTTGGTTGTTAGGGTTGTAAGTTGTGACAAGTGGTAATATTTTAGTTTCCTCTACATCCTTAGCAGTTGGGTTAATTAATTCTTGCCTGTCTAGTTCCTTTGCTTTCTTGATGCCGTCGTTAATTAAGTTTAAAGGATAACGTTGGTATGTAAGATATATTTTCAATTCCTCCAGACGTTGATTTTTGGTTTCTTCCTCACTGACTATTATGCATATTCTTCGGGCTAGGTTGTATGGTATTGCTCTTTTAATGTGTCGTGGATGGGAAGAACCAAAATGCAAATACTGATGAGTGTCTGTATTTTTATAAAATATATCTGTAGAAATTTTGTTGTTTTCCTTACAGATTAACACATCTAAAAATGGTAGTTGAGTGGAACTTTTTTTCCATTGTAAATTTAATATCTGGGTCTAATTCATTCAAGATATCATTTAAGGAAGAGATTGCAAGGGTCCATGAAAAAAAATCCGCTCTATGAATTTTTCTCGTTTTTACATATAATCTGCCTTACGCTAATGGCATCATAATATGAAAATGTCAACCATAGTCATCAGGGTTATAGGGAAGATATGGTTGCCTTGGTAACCACCGTTTTTCAATATTTTGATATTTTTGTAGTAAAAATTTTAAGTATGCCATACAGGTATCAAAATTGAAACAAATTAAATAATTTTCACCAGATATTAAATAATATGCTTTATATTCATTGAAAATAAAAATTGTATCGGAAACTATTGATAGATGTAGTAATGCCACAGTTGCATTGGGGAGTAGTCATTGTAAATTTGCAGTAATATTTTCACCCCAAGAGCAGTTTTCAACGTCTTGACAAAAAATCGCCCGATGAATTTTCATAAAATTAATATATTTTGTAACAATTATTATAAGTGACTTATGGTTAAAATATGAAGTGGGGTCATATCATTCTTTTTTAAGCTACATGCATTTCAATACCCCCCCCCCCTTCCTAAAATATTAAAAGATTTCATAAATTTTAATCTGATGGTTTGCTGCTGAACCTTTAATATGCATAATCTGTTTTTAAAAAAAAACTATAGAAAATACGTATAGATTAATAAATATTTTTTTCTGAAAATCTTGTGGTGGTTGCTCATTTTATACGTAGGGCAGAATGATAAAAGTATCATGTACACCAAAAAAAAAAAAAAACAAAAAAAAAAACAAATGAATATGCATATTTTTTTTTTATTTTCCCATCTCCAAAATATTCATTCCGTTATTATATCAATATAAATATATACATTCTAAACTAGTGCACAGTGGTCCAAGGGCCAAATTGTTCATGCTCTGAACACTCGTCGAATTCTCTGCACTGTGACTTGGAATCGGAAAGGGGGGGGGGGGGGGAGTCACTTGAATACATTGAATGAATAGGTTATTTCAGAGAACTTGTACCCGCAATATATACCGTATATAAAAATCCTAGCTATTATCTTATTTGACAAATTTTAGTGATTTGCTATTTAATATTTACGTTTGCAAATATTTTTCCTTCAGATTCATTGCAAGTTAGAAAACAATTCATTTTCTCATGAACTAGGTAAGCCTACATATCTCCATTGTGACGTCATAATGCCACGCTTGACGTCAAAACTATAGTGCAAACTGTTTTGTTTCAAAAACAATCGTTGAATGCCATTTATAAATTTGCGCTTCATGCTCACGCGGTTCATGAAATATGCTGAGGTGAAGCGTCTTTGTTCATGTCGTCGTGAATTTTAAAAAAAATAAAATCATTTTTCAAATATATTCCCTTGAGCATGATGAGTTGAATGTTTTGTGTTTTTTTTTAAATGTATATGCCCAAAATAATTTTCTCTCTCTGGTATACCTGGTAGCTCCGTAGTACCTCGACTTTCAGAATTAATCTCTCTTAGTTCCGTCTGTCATTCTTACACGCATATTTTTGCTAGATTTGTGAAAACTTGCAAAAAGAAACTTTTCTTTTCGTCAGAAGAAGTGTTTTGTTTTGTTTTTACCACAACATATGTTTACGCAATATATGTGCCTATGATTCAATGTTTGCGTGGTCGATGTAAGAGTTGAAAATGCTTGAAAAGATCTTACAGAGGAAAACAATTTCTTCTGCGATATTTTTAAAAATACCTTCATGTCCAGCATGCGACCTCAAACTGGTCTATACACGTATCATATATGAAAATCGCATTCGTTTATCTGTTCATCCATATAGGCCTATATTCATTATAATCACTGAGAAAATCACGCCCTCTGAAGCTTCTAGGAAATGAATATCTATTCATAGATGTAGATTCTATAGTAAAGAAACCGATCTCAAATAAAATTCTAATATTTTAAATAAAACTAGAGGACATAAAGATCCAGATATGAATTTAATTATTCATGAAATAGATTTCAGTGTTCAGAACTACGACAAAAGGTAGACATGT